TTTGAAAATTCTGACAGATCAGGGTCCAGATCACCGAGAACTTGTTATGACCCGAACACATCTCATCAATCGCAATAGTTGCTGGGAAAAGTTAGGTTATCTGTTTAGTTTTTTTCTTCGCATAACCTCAAGACCCTGTTTGAGACTCAAGTAAGACCCAGCCTCAAGAAGTAATAATAATAATAATAATTTATCTGCCAAATACAATTATACAAGTATAAATTTCAAAGACTGCCACAAAGGAGTATCAATGACAAATCAAAGTAATGACACGGAAGAAAAATCTTGTGTGTGGCCATCCCACTATTGTCAATTGTATATCCGCGGTTATAAATGAAGCCGACTAAGTATTTGCTAATGAACTATGTGCTTCTAACGCACGCACTGATATAATTTGGTGCTACAGGATCACTGGTAGAAACGACGAAACTTTGAACTGACACTGTGGCACTTTAACTAAATTCAATAATAAATAACATAAATTAAAAAGCTAAACATTAAAAAAAAAGAGTAGACTTATTATAACTAACCGGTGCCAGACCGAGATCAGCAGCTGCTTAATAAAAGAACTGTCCTCAAATAAAACCAGCTTCCAACCTACAATTTTTATCCCCTCCAAACAATGTCTGAAAATGAGCAGGAATCTCTAAAACGTTGTAACACTATCTTCCAGTAATTTCATTTTGGTCTCCGTAGTTCCGGCACCTCTGAATCAATTTTAAAAATCTACCGCTACCATGCGATTTAATATTCGAACTTCACTTCACAAGTTCTCTGTTGCTGAAGGATATCTGCATCACACAAGTCCGTGTTTCTCATTTATGTTGGTTTGTCAGTCCGTGTCAGTTGTATATCCGTGCGTCATAATTATTGAGTCAATCTACTTGCCGAAAAATCCAGTAAACCATCATGGACGGAGTAACACAAATTAAAGGTTAGACCAGGCTTTCTCAGCCGTTTTTTTTTGAAGCTCCCCGGACTATAAATTATATTTTCATGCCCCTCTTTACTTTTTCAATAAATATAAAAAAAACGCACATTATATAGGTACAAAGACTTTTATTTTAATTCTAATAAAGAAACTCCAAAGGTTTAAATAAACCAGTAAATGTTTTTTATCGAAAAATAGATACTAATGTGGTACTTGCATTGCATGTTCTGTACCAGTTGGTTGATTCTAGGTTCAGTTTCTGCCAGAGCTATCATCAGGTCGTTATCGACATCAAGACGATTTCGCTGTTTAGTTTTAATTAAAACTAGAGAAGAAAAGCCTATCTCACATAATTAAGTTGAAGAAAAAGGAACTAGTATTCGTAAAGCAAGAGAGGCAAGTGTCGAATTAAATGTCTCCAGTGTTAGGTGGAAGTCATCTTTCATGGACGAATCAGCCTTCATTTCTAGAAATTCTTCCTGAACTTCTTCTGGTGCTTGTCATGTGCCATATTGGTGACTCTGATGTCTCGATAGTATCGGCGAAATTCGTCTTCCAGCGCTTGCAAATGAGTTTTTATGTCAGCTTTTAAATTTGCGTCTAGTATGTTATTTTTTATTGCTTCGAATAGCCGAGAAAAAAATAAAACATTTTCATTAGACACTTTTTGATTCCAAAGTTGAAGATTTGATATGAACCCCTGAATATAATCATAATTGCTTATTAAGTGTTGTTTCTGCCCTGAAGTTTCAAGCTTAGCTCATTCAAGGAGTCAACCTCCATTGAAATGTGTCATCTTTGAACATTGTCAAGAAATCGTGTTTTTCTTTGAACTCAAGAAAAAACATTACCTCTTCTTTCAATTCATAAAAGCGAGCCAACATGTTGCCTTTGTGATCAGAATCGAGATCCTCGCAAAGTAAAGTAAATAACCGACTGTTCGAAGCGCTGCTCTTGATGTAGTTTACAATCCTTATAGACGAGTCCAAAGTCTGGCGTAATTTCTGTGGCAATGTTTTGGAAGCCAAAGCTTGCCGATGAATAACCCAATGTGTACTAACCATTGCGGGATTTTTTTCTTTGAGCTTTTTAGGTAAGCCCGATTGTATACCTATCATTGCAGGTGCGCCATCTGCGCAAAGTCCAATGAGTTTCTTACAATCCAATAAAAAAATTTTCGACAAAATTTGATATTGAATTTAATATATCTTCAGATGTAGTACCTGCTATCAAAGATTGGGAGTACAAACTCTCTTCTTGAATGATATTTCCGCCGATCAACGTAAAGTATTAACTGTGCACAATTAACGACGTCGGTGGATTCAACGCAACTAATGGCAAAAAATGGCGATAATTTTACTTTGCTAATTATTTGTGGCTTTATGTCTGCTGCAATGTCATCGATTCTACGCTTGACTGTGTTATTCGAAAGAGAAATAGACTTCATTTTTTGCTCTGCATCTTCTCCTAAAATTATCTGCGTGGCTTTTAGGACACATGGTTTTTATTCATTCTACACCGATAGTATGAGGTTTCTTTTGCTTTGCTATCATAAAAGCTATTTCAAATGAAGCTTTGAGATGCTGCGATCCCCTGTGAGATAAATTCCCGATTTATCCAGTCTCATCCGATTGAGTGATTCTGCTTTAGAAGAAAAAAACTCTTTCGTTTTCAAAACCAGAGTAGGATGTTGGTGCTTCAAATGCCTTTCAAGGCGATGGGGCCTCATGCTATCATTACGTAAAACTTTCATACATATCACACACTTAGGCAATTGTAACTCGTCTTTTTCTATGAAGGTAACTCCAAACTTAACGTAATCTTCGGAAAACTTTATTTTTTCGCTGCCATTTTGCACCTATAACAATGAAACGAATAAGTAATAAATAAATAAGCAAAATACCTACATGTAATAATTATATGTCCATTATTTTATCTTAATAACGTAATGAATTCAACTGTATATTGGCCACTGGGAGATTTATATGTTTGTAGGCAGGTTGACGTTATAATAGTAATTTTAAATACATTTGGAATCAATATTAGGTACTTAAAATTCGTCGTTTCAAAATTATTTTGACACGTTGGTTTGATTGTGATGTGGTAAAAAAGTCCTAATGGCCGATCTACGAACGCGTCTCCACTCAATCAACAATTTAGTAAATTAAATAAAAATGATCACTGAAGTTTGTAAATACACAAACTTACCTTTTAACAGTAAGGCATAATAATTTGACACACTCATATTTCTCAACAAAACATGTACATCGAAACGTAAAATTTTTTGTAAGTTTGTGGGAATGAATGTCACAGATGCTCATCCGCGTCTGGTAGGTACACAATTGTTTTCTAAGTGATGAATTTTAAGCGGAACGCGGCGGGGGTGCGCGCGGATTTCATGTTGTGACTTGTCGAAACTTGTATAAACTGCCATTGACGACGCCGGGTTTTGAAACAGCGGTTGACAGAATTAGTGAATATGATATTTCATTTCTAATTTTATGCATGTAAATTAAACATTACATTGTAATGTTAATGTTGTTTGTTTTTCTTGGTTTTTTGTTTCTAAAATGCAAACGCTTTCCACCCCCCTTGACATCTCTCTATGCCCCCCTTGGGAGGCGCGCCCCCTGGTTGGGAACTCCTGGGTTAGACGAATTGGGTGCTACTCTTGAGTATCATATAATTCAGAAAATAAGTGTAGATATAAAATTCGTAGGTCATTTACAAAAGTATCGCAGAATGCTAAAGTAATACGTACTCCTAATATCCAAATATTGCTAAAATATATAAATATTCTCATGTAGCAGTGTGTCAGCTACGACTAAGAAACCACCGCAGATTCACTAGTTGGAGCTTGTTACCCATTGCTTAGTGGCCTCCACGACGATGCTGTATCGCGCCGAACACGCAACGCTAACGATTGCAAATTATTTCGAATTATGAGCTCATTAGACATCGGACTTTACCGGGGCAGAAGCTTCTTGATGATAGAACGTCTTTGACTAATACTAAGTACGTAGGTAACATTTATAACCCCCTACAACCCCCAACCCCTACAGAAAATTTTCCGAAAATGATCAGGAGACTCTAAGGAGTAAAAAAACGAAGTTTGAATGATTTTTATTTTTTCGTGTTTTCGGCCCCTGGTTCCGCAGCCACTGGACCGATTTAAAAAAGCTACAAAGCTTTTTCATCCTTGGCATAGTAGTAACCTTGCGTGTGAAAATGTCAAAATCCTAGCGGTACTTCTCAAGTTATAGGCGGCTATAAGGTTAGCGGACAAACAGACGGACCTACAGAAATGTGACATGTTTTTTCGTGAAGTGATATAACATCAAAAAAAAACAATATCTCAATTTCTAAATTTTCCGCCATTACAATACTTCCTCACCAGTTGGCGTAAACATTGAGATGGGTAAGTTCTGCTTTAATGCGATGAGACTTTCTGAAAATTCGATTGTCTTCAAGGAAATAATGAATAAATATAACATTTTTTGTCTCCAAGTATCTGAATTGTGGTTCAAGCATTTCTCTTTGAGGGGTCTCATAACAAGGACCAAAATGTTTCCCTCATGAAAAGTACTGAGGTTTTCCTTAAATAAATTAAGCAATGTATTTTCGCTTCCAACAGTTTTTTTACATTATCTCGCTCATTAGGAAAAGTACCCACTAGCATTCGCTATTTTTCAAGTATCCAGTAGGGAAGTCTGGCAACACTGTATTATTAAGTCCACTTTGAGTATGCTCGGCCTGGTGTTAGAAAAGACATAAAACCATAAAGTGATTGCGTGACTTGATTTGAATGTCCATATGACGCTATTTACACAATGTAAAGCTCGACTTCAGGATACATGCATGATTTACATGATAATACGCCTGTTGAATATATACATGTAAGACAAGAAGTATTTTTAGCGAAAATATATCCCCAAATCATTTGACGTTTAAAAAGCCCTTATTTTTAATGAGCCAATGTACAACAATATTTTTGAAATTATGAAAAATACTATCCTTTTTCCTTGGAAAATTATATGCGTTTACTGAGTTTTTTTATTCTGTTTTCCAGTGAATTGGGGCTACCACAGGCAAGGCTCATGTCAAGCAGGATTTAGCGCAGGAATAAACAAGGTACTTATTGCTTCAAGCATGCGATTACTTCCCATTTTTGTCTTACAAAGGAACTATTAGCATATTACACCATTATTTAAATGCAAGATCTGTGCATAGGTGGATACTAAATGTAAAACTTGTGCGGAGGTTGCTAAAATCTATCGACCTTATATCAGTATGATTAAATTATTCTGTGTTTTATTGTTATTATAAGGAGCATATGTAACAAATTCGAGTTTCATTTAAATAAATACAACTTCATTCAATAGCTCTCTTCTGAGTATATAAAATTAGTGGGACACCCTGTACCTTTGAACTTATTTTTGAATGTACTATCTGTCCTTTTGAGTTCTCATTCTTTTTAAAGTTTTACGTCTAGCTTAATAGCAAACACTTAATCAAGATGCACTTTTCAAAAAAATCCACAGCGATATTTCAATCTCCAGGAGATTCTAAAACATCTTCCTCACAACATCCTGGTGTCTAATCGTGCACCATCTTGTGATTTATACACTTTTAACGGTGACATTTTTAACCTAACAAACGCGTTCTTGTACCTGGTGTGTAACTCAGCACGAATGAAAACATCTTTCTAAAATTAACAATTCGGATCACACATCAGATCTAACTTACGTGTCCTGAAAATATATTCAAATTTGTCTAAGGTGGCGTTAAGAAGCAGTTGTTTTTTGTTTTTCGTTGTCATAGAAAATGATTTGTGCTATTTTGTTCTGTGATGACAAGCTTATAATAATAATAAAATGAACTGTTTTGAATATATCATTTTTATAAGGTGTGCAGTGCAGCCTTTTTATTATGAATATAAAATGAAATTGAGTTGAATATTAAAAAAATAAATTCTCATAAGCTTCATGCCTGTTCGCATTGATAAAGGAGTCTCTAAGCGGTGAAAATAACTAATTGCAATTTGATCGCATTTATGAAATTTTGGCATCTAAATATTCCAGAGCCTTGGTATTTTAAACTCTAATCATTTTTCTTTTTATTTTAGCATCTAAATAAATTAAAAGTCCAAAATTCGCAATTTTGACATTTCTGTCCAAAGCTCACCCATTTTCTTATATCCTAGCTGATGTAGACCTAATAGCTTCCTCCATAAGTGATGACACTGAAAGAAACATTTTCACAGCTCGTTCCACCAACCTCATCACTGACTATTACCACAACAACAATCTTAATAAAAAACATTCCTTCTATTAGAACTGGTTAAGCAAAACTAGGAAATTTCTAAAACAACATCTTGAACTTATTTTTACTTAATGTTACAGAGATAATGTTAAGACAACACTATTTTTATCTTTGCAACAATCTTATCAATGATGATCCATCAAATCATGAAATTAATAGAGATCCTACATCAAAGGTTGAACAGAAAGGTAATGACACTGTTAAGGAACTCCTCAGCACTGGACAAACAACCCAAGAACAGAAAAGAACATTGACTACTTATAACTATGTCCCTCCTAAATTCTAACCACTTCCAAAAATACATAAACCTGTACTCTCAGTAAGACCTATAGTAGCATCAATTGGTTCGTTCACCCAGGCTTTGACCTCATTAATATCGGAAATATTAAAATCGGCACATAGTGACGATTACTGCATCAAACACTCTTGGTGTCTCTCGCCAGTTCACCAAGTAACTAATACCTCCTGATCACATTATCGCCAGTCTTGATGAGATAAGTCAACACTGCAACATACCTCTCGAATCTTTCACCAACATTATATCATTTCTCTTTCATAACAACTACTTCTCTTTCAACAACAAAATATATTCTCCGACACATGGTTGTCCTATGGGATCTGTTCTATCACCAATTTTGGCAGAATATGTTATGGATGATCTGCTTGATACTGTTATTCAGACACTACCCTATAACCTGTTCTTCATAAAAAATACGTAGATGACATTATTGTGTGCCTTCCCTCCAGAGGTGTAGATAGTATTGGCGAAAATTTCAACAGCTATGACCCTTACATCCAATTTACCATTGAAAAAAAGGATGAGAACATATCTGTCCCTTTTCTAGACCCAGGACTCATCCGCACCAACAATAATGGTTTATTGGTGGACTGGTACCAGAAACCCATGTCTTCAGGCCGTTTCCTCAGTTTCAGGTCATACCATAAACTAAGGATTCAGATCAACTTGGTGAAGCAGATGAAAACAAGGGCAATTAGCATCTCTGACAATACTTTCCATACTTCAAACTTACGGAAGCTATCTAAACTGTTCACCAACAACGGTTATCCGAAGTATTTGATTAACAAGATCTTGTTCAGCTCTCCTCCTAGTATTTTGCCAAATACTAATACCAACAACAACACTAATTCTAATAATAGTATAACCACCATCCCAAATTCCAGATCTGGTTTTGTTGATGTACCCTACATCAAAGAACTGACCCCTAAACTAATCAGACTATGCAGCTCGTTGAGTTTCGAATTGTTTGAAAATCCGTCCTCATTATAAACTATATTTTTTCAAAGATGAAAGACAGAGTCGCGTTGCTTGGCTTAGCCAAAACAGGGTACTCCATCAATTGTAATAATTGCAATTAAATATACGTAGGTTAGACTTCCAGATCTCTAAAAGGAAGGATTACATCACACAAAAGTGATTCTAGACTTCATCCTGAGAGATGTGCTCAGGCATCACATGTCAATACAACAGGACACCCGATGAACTACACAAGTATCAAAGTTCTTGATAGAGAAAAACACCTATCCAAACGTTTATTCCTGGAAATGACTCACAACTGAACGTCATTTAATCATATTTGCTAAACTGCGAAAAGTTGGAGCACTTACACATCTCTCCAAATTTTGATTCTTCACAACCATAAATGGAATCTGGTTTTTTGTCTATTCCATTCTTTTCCTCCAAAATTGTATCCCATTCAAATTTTAATAATTAATGTTTTCCTCATAATAAAATAATTGTTAATTTAATTGTCCATCTCATTAATAATATAGTTTATTCAACTACCTCTGGTCGATTGTCAAGTCTTTATTTAGCATACCTTGAAAAATCACACCTTCTCAATCGATTTGGCAACATAGCACATAATTTACAAACTTTTGTTCCATCCATCGATACTGACACCACCAGCCTTCTGTCATTTGTCAAATGTTTCATGCTATTTATGATCCTGTACTACACCATCTTGTGCAACATCAAGTGGTTGGTTCACAATGTAACTCGTAATATGTTAACGATTTCAACTTTCATTCCAAATATTTTTAATGCGTTGTGCTGTGTTCCTGAAATACAGCTGTGTGCGTTTTTTACCATTTTTAACGAATGTACCATGGATCCAGCTTTCACCAGGTAACTAAATGTTTCCCTCAACTTAACCTTTAATAACATTTAACAACAATGTCACATACTATTGTAAGTAATTTAAAATCATTTTTCAGAATAGTTGCTATTTCTTCCTAATGTTATTGTACGAGTAGTTCCTGAAGATGAGACTAATAAAGTATCAAGAGTCCTCATCGCTTTAATCTTGTCGAAGTACCCAACTAAAGGCGGAAGCTCTTTTTTCCACCTAACTATATATATATATATATATACCCTTGAATTTCTTTGGGTAGAAGGCAAAGTATTGCAAAAGTACACTCTTATAACTTCAACTCGAGCTTTCGGAGATCTATGTCTTCATCGTCTGGGGCTGGAAACAATTATTGACAATAGCAACAATTAACAATTAGGAGGAAAAATAGTTACTTACTAAGTCGGCGAGATTGTTGCTGAAATTGTTTTTAAACAACAGTGAAGGGAACACATCGTCGATAATAAAGAACTCAACAACAATCTCGCCGACTTAGTGAGTAACTATTTTTCCTCCTAATTGTTTTTTGTTGCTATTGTCAATAATTGTTTCCAGCATAGATCTTCGAAAGCTCGGGTTTAAGTTATAAGAGTGTACTTTTGCAATTCTTTGCCTTCTCCCAAAGAAATTCAAGGATATTTTCTCCTCACAGTTAAGGCAATTAACTATGGATACTATATATATTACAGTTCTACAAGACCCCTACTGAGTGGGGCCGTGGTAAATGCTTGTTCCGGAAGTTGTTGTATCCAGTATACAACTTCTTCTCGTTCAAGTGATTGTCCACGCGTTAAGGAATACCTCAGTACCGATTGCCGGGTGGCGGTACAAGTCCGCCAACGGGCCACTTTAGGTCTATTTAACATCACTAACACGTAAAAAGAAGGTGGTAGACAAGGACCAGTCGACCGAGGCAGTACCACCCGCTAGCTTTTCCCAGGGTGTCTTATAAATGTCCGCATGTTTCCACACCTAAGCTATGCAGTCGGTTATCCTCCAAAACAAAGAAATTAATGATGATGGATCCCTCGAGCACTAAGAACTCCGGACGTAAACTCACTCCACTCTCGGAATGTCCGGGTGGAGGGTGGGCTCGAGGGAACAACATCGAAGATAAAATTTGTTTTTCGAACATCTGCGGGATTAACAGCAACATTGATGCTGTTCATCACTACCTGCAATCCAATCGTCCCGCCGTGCTTTTCTTGGCGGAGACAAAAATCTCAGAGTCTGCACCGATTAACCATCTTAACTTCCCAAACTACGAGGTGCACTCCAATCTGAGAAAGAACGGGGGAGTTGTGGCTTTTGTACGCAGCAGTCTTTCCTGCTCCAGAGATGTTTCTTTGGAATCAGACCGGAAGGACATTCTGTGGCTTCGCCTCAACTCCAAAACATCACCCAAGTTTATTTGCTGCCTTTATCGCTCTCCCTCGGACCATAACTGGGATGACCTACTCGAATACCTCGCCGTCCAGATCGACTTCCTGAACATCAATCATCCCGCTTCAGAGGTAGTTCTTCTCGGTGATTTCAATGCCCATAACGAGCTTTGGTTGGGCTCAAACAAGACCGACGCAGCAGGTCGTGCAGTCGAAGCGTTCGCTCTTACCCAAGGGCTGACTCAGCTGGTGACGAGTCGTACTTTTTTCCCCCGCG